CTACCACTACTCATCTTACCCCTTCTGAGCCTTTGTGTCTGTTTCTTCTACACCTTTGAAACACCCTTCTATTTCCCCTCCTGAATTCTTCTCCTGCTATTCCTCCTCCTGAATTCTTCTCACTTTGATGTTCCTCCATCTGTGAATCACTCTTCTTTTCCCCCCTCCCGAATTCTTCTCACTTTGATGTTCCTCCCTCTCTGTGAGTTCCCCCTCTTGAATTTTTCTCACTTTGATGTTCCTCCCCTCTGTGAAGCCACCAGAAGTCAAATAAAGGGCTAATGATAACCATCAAAACGCTTGCAACTAAAGGGCTAATGATAACTATCAAAACGCCTGCCATACCGAAGTCAACTAAAGGGCTAATGATAACTATCAAAACGCCTGCCATTTGTTATAAATAATTCATTGACACTTTATTTCCCTGTTTTTTCCCATGAACAAAACCTTTTAACACCTGAAAGAGAAGATATATTTTAACGAAGGGAAAACAAATATATAATTTAAAGATCAAATTTATATCACAGATGACCTTAACATCACAGGCCTAAAGTGAAAATATTAGAAATTCATATCCAAAGTAAATTTAATTCCTGGGGCACAAAGGCTTGTTTCAAAAACAGTGACATTTAAGTCCTTGAGAGTATTCCTGACTACCTTTAAAGAATCCTCTGTATCCAATTCTTTGCATTTAATTGCGATAACGCAACCACCGCGTCCAGCACCAGTCAGCTTCGCATGAAACCCAAGGACTTCCATCCTTCGAACAATTTCATCCAAAAGTGAATTAGAAACACCTAATCGACAGAGCTCTCTGTGATTCATGGAAAACAAGGAACTCAAATGTACAAGAGACGTACTATCAAGTGAATTTGAGAGAATTTTCGTGCCCACCTCACAGATAGACTGAACGGTTTCAAAAACGGAGTCGAAGACAGCAGGGTTTTCCTGGCGGAAAGCACGAACAGAATCAACAACTGTCGCTGTAGACCTTGGAACACCAGTATTAATGACAATTAATTTTGGCAAACATTCCGGATTGACAACATCAATTTGACGTAAAGTGATCTTATCATTTAGACGATGGAACTTTAATAAACCACCAGAAACACTAATGGCTGTATCGATACCAGAAGGGGAATTGTGCATAAATTTCTCCAGTTCATGAGCAAATGATTGTATTCGCAAATGATCTGAATCAGACAGTGTTGAAACAGTAATTTCCCCACCAAGGTGGAGGAAAAATGCAGCAACGACAGAACAGAAAGCACCGGACGATCCTAAGCCAGCATTGATAGGTAAAGACGAAGAACAAGTAACCTCATAGGGAAGAGCTAGATTCCAAGCTTCCTTCACCTTCCTCATTAGAAAAAAGGAGAAGAGGAAGACTGCCAAACTGTTGATTAATGATTTGGCCATCTTTTGTTCAACCAGTAACTTTTCAGAAAGTGTAAGAAAGTATTCCCTAATATCAGCATCCCCTTTATCACGTGGAATATCAACGATCAGATTTGAATGCAAAATAACTAGAGGCTCGTTGGTGAAGTCTTTGAAATTAATTTTAAGTAATAGACCATTACGAATACTCGGCGATATTCGATGAAACTTTAAAGAAATGCGCGAATCAATGGCTGCAGCCAAGGCAGGACATCCATAAACAACGGTATGTTCGCCAAATAAAATAACTTTCCCAGGTGAAGAAATTGACATATCACACAGTTTGAGACAAAGATAGGAGATAATTATTGAAAGCGATTACTTGAAGGCATCACATCAAGGTCAGAATAACGTTTCGAAAGACCTCAAGGTTAAATTAAATATATTAAATAATCAATTATAAATAATTATTAAAAGAGAACAAATATATTTTTTATATCTGCATATGATGTGAATCAATGTTTAAATTATAAAACTTGCAGTGAGTTATAACAAAATATAGTAAACGACAAATTCTTCCCTTCACACTAAGGTAAGAACTAAATATAAAAATTGTGGTCATTAAGAAGTCTCAAGCTTTATTTGTTTGAGGTTGCATTTTAATGTGAAAGAGCAGTGTTTCATATTTCACCTCTCGTAATACATATTTTACTTTGAAATGTTGATCATATAGTAAGCATAACTTCATAAAGATAATAAAATATTTTGTATTTAGATCTAATGTTGAATAACTTTAAAATATTTTCACTCCGTTGCTTTTCAAGCGAAATTTTTCCGCATACCTAATTATATCTTATTTCTTTAGCTTAGTGATTAGAATAATTTAAAACATATAAGTATATTCACAATCATTAATACTAGGACTAATTTGCACCAAGTCTTCCAAAAAGATCATTTTATTTTGTAAAAAATTTCAAAATAGTACATTTAAAGAAATTGTATGCAATTGGTGTGAATCAATTAAATCAGATTTTACTAGATAAGTTGCCAATGTTAAACAATCTTGAGGGGAATCTGAAGCGCGCGAGATTTTATCTCAAATATTTATAACTTTCGTATTAAAATCAGTATGGCTAATATGAAAAATTAGTAGCTGATTTGGCAAACAAAACGAATAAATTTATGACTGACTCTTTAAGTAATCAAAATATTATTTACTAATAAGTCTTTCCTTTTAATTAAATAATATCTTTAATACCTTCCAAAATGCACAACTGAATTTTTAATATTTAACTTATTAAAAATCTAAATCCTATTTTCGTTTATTGTTGGTGATAATTTCGCGAGGTTTTTGATTCTCGTTGGAAAGGATGTCTTACTTGAGACCCCTCATTTCCATTGGAAAATGTAAGTTTGTTAAAAATAAAATATTTACTATCTATTATTTCAATATTTTTAATTCTTTTATTGGGTTCTTCAAAATTGCAGGTTTGCGGACAGCAAATTTTCCCCATCGAACTGTAATACCATCTCGTATGGCTTCAACTAATCCCAAATATTTCAATGCGGAGGAACCTTATGCTGAATTTAAGGACCGCTTCATCACGGCCTTCGAGAGGCCAGATCTAGATGGGTGGTGGTTGCGTCATCATCTTCAGAAATTGCACTGTGAAGATATCATTCCCGAACCAGATATTATAAGGGCTATATATCGGGCCTGCAGGAGACTCAATGATTTAGCTTTAGCTATTAGGTATACAGAAACCCTACGTGTAAGTTAACATTATTTTCTAAATAACGTGTTTTTTAGCATAAATGCGATATAAAACCGGACCTTTTCCCTTGGTTAATGCAAGAAGTTGCTCCAACAATGAGGGAGCTTGGTATTCCAACATTGGAAGAACTCGGTTATGATCAGCCTGAATTGTACACTCTTGATTATGATGACTAATTTTTCCACCCAGTTTTCGTTGTAGCTCAGTTTATAAATTGCTGTCTTTTTAGTTGTTTTCCTCCACCTTCGAAATTAACTATTTGCAATACTCAAGATAATTGTCATGCCCTCAGTTGCTTCGTTTCAGTTTTTTTCAACCAATCAATTTATTTAATGTTTTTACATTAAATACGGCAAGGCAAAGTATTTCCTTGCATGGAATAGTAGCTAAGTACATGGGGATAGGGGGTATCTCAGATCTAACTGCTAATTATGTTTAAAGGATTCAAAAACCTGCGAATCGCTTTTCATGTTCATCAGGAAAACGGGTTTGCCTTTTTAACTTATTTTGATAAGATTTAGCTCTCCTTTATTGATTAGTTCCGAATACTATTATTTGCATGATGTCATTATTCTAACCTGTGTTTAAGCAAAAGAACTGGTTAGAGGGTGTTAGGCCGAATCTTCAACATTAAGAAGTCCTACTCCAATGCAGAGATTTTAATTTCAAGCAGTTGATGTGTAATAGCAGATGTTGAAGGTACTCGCTATTAACTCGGTGTGTCTCAACATGTTTTGGGAAACTTTGCTGTGATTTCCGCAATAGTTCTGCGAATGATACTTTCAATTCTTCGTTTTCGTTTCACATAATCTGAAGGTGGCACTCTTTTACACCAACTTTATTTTGTTCACTTAATGTCTGCTTGATTTCCGCGAAGTTAATACTTTTTGTGAGCACAAAAAATTCTTTTCAGTGAACAAATAGTGTGTAGACAATAACTTTTCGATTAGCGGCTGAATCTGTTGCTCAAGGTTTGCCTATCATTTTTCCGGTAAACTCTTATAGTATATCAACTGTCTGTAAATGTTTTGTGATGAAATTTTAATTTGAGGTTAAAAACGATCTGCATCCCAAATAAGCTTCGACAATAAATGGTCTTTGTTCGATTGAAAATAGCATTCAGTAGAACTGTGTTCACAACCATCTTTGACAAATGGCAGTGCAAAACTGGCCAGTACATAGTCAATGCAAGATGACCTGTCTGCTGGTATTTGTTCTTTTTAGACAGTTTATGCTTTGTACGTAGAGTCAATTATTCCTCCCTACCCAGTAAAGAAAGCGTTTTTCGAAAATCCACTTTTAACTGACTTTAGTAGTGGAAGACTCAAATTCCACTTAGTCTTTAATTAACCTGACTTAAAAATAGCTCAACAGTCTTACTTCCCCTGTCTTTGCACCTCGTGGCTTTTGTCGATTAAATTAATTTCTGTACGATAATATGTAAGTAATAAACCCATTTGTAATCAGCTCATACTTTATTGAGTGATTAGACAATTTACTTTTCTCAGCTGGAACCAGAGTTAAAATAAATAGGGTGTTGGAGACATTCGATGTTCGTGACAAAGTCCAACAAAATATCTAATCATAAACTGATGACTTCGTTATTTTGGTTTGAATCCTCATATCGAAATTTTCGGCCACGTACCGTGAAAGGAATTTTGACAACTTGGCTTTGCATTGTTCAATTCCATTTGAATCGTGTGCAGAGAATTTGAGTCTGAATAACTTTGGAAGACCCATCATAGGCCGTGTTGACAGGGCTAGATTGGAACACAGGTGAGGCATTTCATGAATCTGAAATCTCTCATCAAAAGTACATTTAGGAGTCAAAGGAATGTTTAGTAAGTTATCACTCCCTTCCATTATAATAGTTCTATTTAATTCGAAATCCAGGAATTAGTTGGTTTACATGTTGGCAGACCTATAGTACAAGGGATCCTGTTTGGCAGCAATCTTGCCGCATTCTTTAATAATGTGTAATGGCCTACTTAAGATTATTCACTCTCAGAGTCGTAGTATGTGTAGTAATCGTTCACTAGCGAAATTTCCACAAAGGGATATTTCTTTTTGAATTGCTTTAACAAAACCGCTCTAATTATCTTATCGTTAAATTTTCATAAATGCTTAAAGGCATAGCTAAGTCATGATGCTGAGAAGGTCTCTTGGTAAATCGAATTATCATCTCATAGACACCCAAAAGTATTGACTCCCATCTTAAAGGCATAAATCCCCACCTAAAGGAAATTGAGCGTAAATATGAAGTATGGGCCTATCAGTAGTTTCCAAACACCCAGGGAGAATGACAAATCTTTGTTCTATCGCGAGGATAATTAATCCTCATGGAGAATGATCAATAAGGACTAAAAATTTCAGGCGGTTTTTATAAGAGAAAGGTGTGGCAAAATGTCGCAGATCAGAATGCAATCTTAAATTAAATTCAGTGCGGTTCCCTTCAAATGACCATTTCAAAATAAGACTGATGGAATAACGTCTAAAGCAAATAAAGTTCAATAGAGAGTGAAATGACTAAAACTGTGGTCTTACTAATCTAGGATAACGATAATTACGTCAGATTTGATCCACCCTAATTTAAAAGTATTCTCAGAATACCATTTATTTTCGTTATCATCCACATCTCGCATACACTTCCTATGCAAGGTATATCCATATGCAAATCCTTTTGAAATCAGTTATTTAATTTCGCAACCGAAATATCAATAAGTAACTTTAAACGATTGATCGCTATTTATGAAATACGTCTGCATTAAAAATTGTTATCTCGACTTCTACGCGCGTAAAGCATTCAAACTCGTGAACAAAGTAAATTTAAGTTAGCTGAAGCAGCGTAACAAGTTAGTGAAATAAATGTAAGAAAGGTAATTCAGCTAGGTCGAATCCGATTCAATAAATACTATAGAAGAAATACTTGTGGAAATTTCCGTTCTTAGAGTGAAAGTATCTGAAATCTTTTATAATGCACTAGAACCATTCCTTTAAGACTTAATTATTATAAAAAGTGTAAAAATGGATAAATAAATATCAATAACTAAGAAAAAATCTTTCAAAATATTGCGAAGTAAGTTCTTATTTTTAGTATCTTATCTAATTTCCTTCCCATTAAAAAAGGTGAGAAAAATAGGTTTGGAAACTGTAATGCAAATTTCATTCGCCAGCGAAAACTAGAAAGATAGACAATCCTGATCGCCAATATCACTTGTCTAGTTTCTTTAATTTCACCGTAAATGAGGGCCCATTATTTATCGGCTTTCCGGGTCATAATGTTAAATATGAAAGTCCGCTTTTCAGCATTGGCAGATCTCTACCTTATTTTGACACAGCTTATATCTTAGAGGTCAAACTATTATTTTTGTGCAAGCTACAATATTTTTAAACCTCATTGTTTCCGAAAATGGAGCAAAGACCATGAATTTACAAAATTCAATGTGTGATAATCATTTCAAAATATTTGAAATAGTTTCAATAGAAAGTTCAATTAAAGTATGATTTAAATTTGGCTGGCTTGCAAATTTGTTTTATGAAATGACCTAAACGAAAAAACATTGCGCTATTCGAAATGCTTATGAATTTATATACTGGATAATCTGATCATACAATATTGAAGTAATATTATCCTCAATTTATGCGAAACTACAAACTTTTAGATGGCTCTCGAATTCATAACTAAATCTTCCGACGTTCTTCATAATGCACATTCCAACAATTCTTCTCAGTTTAAGTCTACTATTTCACAGGATTCAAATAGCGCCTCTTCGGGTGATAAGTTGGAAAAATTTACTAACTTAAATAAGCTAGGTATTTAATAATCTTACCCAATATTTGATTTTATTAGGTACTTTTGTGAGTTCAAACTCAATTGATTGTGAACCAGCGTTAGATAGAAGCGATAAAGCAGAGAATAAATCACCGACAAGGGACAGTTTTTCACAATATCTTATTCCAAGTGATAACTCGTAACTTATTTGAATCTTTTAATGTGGTTTAGACTTAAAAAAGTTCCTGAAAATCTCATATACTCTCAAAATGACAATTTAGTATAGTGAGTATGCCTTTATTTTATTTTACATTATCAAAGTGATCATGCAACTCCTACGAAACCTCCACCAGCTTATTCTCGTAAGAGTTTTTTATCGAATGATTCAGAAATTAAAAATTTGGCAAACGATTTTGGAACGTAAGAACTCTAAATTTCCTATTTGTCCCATTGGCATTTTTAGATTTACGAAACCTTTCGGAAATGATGGTAGCTACGGCTCAAATCCGTTTGATGGAATGATAAAATCCAACGAAAACACGAAAATTGGCAATGGTATTTATAAGTAATGGCTTTACTCAGTTGTATTTTTTCAACTTATTTATTTTTCCTCAGATTTATTGAACACTGACAAAAACAATTCCATTGGAGTTAGCACAAAGTAAGTTTGAGAATTGGCCAGCATTTTCGTATTGTTAATTGTATAATGTTTAAACTAGCTCACTTTGTAATTATACTTGTTCGCTTAATGGTTTAAATGAGATTTTGTGCTTAAGGAAGCATATATGATAGATTTTGTTGTCAATCGCCTTCTTTCAGAAACAGTTTGTCCATGATATTATAACTCTGATCTTGCGAATTTTTTTTATTTGCTCGTGAAGCTCATGTGCCCCAGTTCAATTTATTAATATGAGCAAGCCAATTCCTTTATTTTAAATATTCGAACCATTTAACATGTAGTTCACATAATACATCTTCCTTGAAATACGTCATCATTTACAAATTGTCCGATATAAATTAATAAACCTTTTTTTAACTAGAAAGACACCTAACTTCTCCTTTTGAGTACCTCGATTTGTGCCCTCCTATTTTTATTCTCTTCTTCTCTTGAAAGAACCTTGAATTTGATTGCTTAATTGACTTTCTCAAGTTTTATTTAAGTTCTTCTCGATTCGTTTGGGTGCATGAAATATTCATTCATTTCAAATGGCAGGCGTTGTGATAGTTATCATTAGCCCTTTAGCTGACTTCGGGCTTCACAGGGGAAGGAACATCAAAGTAGCAGGAAGTCGAGGGGTGGGGAACGGAAGAGTGATTTACAGTTGTAAAAGAGACAGCCACAAAGGTAGAAAAAGGTGAGGTGAGTACTGTGGAAGTAGTCGAATATGACATACAGTGGGGGGA